TGTCACAGGGCTTTGTGGCAACCGACCAGTTTATTCCCATGGCACAGCCGGGCACATTGGGAGGAGCAGGATCTGGGATGTGTGTTTAGTACAGCAATATAGCGTGGCACGCTCCCGAGGGAGTGGGGAGGGAAGCTGTGCTCTGGGCTGTGCTTGGAGCCACCAAGGTGGCTGCAGGCTCAGGCCAGGGCCACCAACCTAGGACCTGCCCTAAGCTCTGCAAACCGCAGCCCCAAACCTGCTGGGTGGTACCCACAAACCCAGCGCTCCCCACAGATGGGCACGGGATGCAAGGGCACTTGGCACCTTGAACCACCAGGCACTGCTCCCTTTCAGGGCAGGCCGGTACCCCCATGTCAGCCTGGCTCCTGCTGCTGCCCTGGAGAGCAGTTTCTTCTTGAAAAAACACCTTAGCAATGCTGTCACCGCTGGGCTGCTCCATCCCCTAAGAACTCAAATGCGCCTTAGATAGAAATCAGGCAATAATGGCGCATAATCCATTGTACATTCATTTCCCAGCTTCCAGTAAAATATAAAGAGAAAACAAACCAGCAGTGGCATTTCAAGGCAATTATTCAGAAGGGTCAGGAGCTACAGACCAAGAGAGGGGAGCTGGACAACGTCAAATCTCGTTAATGCGTGGGGATAACATGATAAGGCTGTCAGTTACCCCGCAGCGAGCAAGGCAGGGATCAGGCAGCTCTAATCAAGTTTTGGGATTCTCTGACCTTACCTGCTCCCCAGCTGTGATTATCCACTGCACACGGTGAAATATCCTGGTGATGGGATCGCGGCTCTGCAGGGCCACGGACACAGAGGCAGTGGCTGGGACACAGAGCTGGCTGCAGAGGGATGTGCTCTGTGCTCTCCTTCCTTCACAGATTTACAAGGCACTGCCCAAAGCAAGTAGAACCTCAAAGAAATAAGCAGAATTCATTTTTTTCCCCATACAAACTGAGGTGAAATAGAGACCCCATTGTGCATATAGGAAGGGAAAGATCAGCCACAGAGGGAAAGCAGCTCTGGCCACTGTTAATGGAAACATCTGCTCCATGGATCGCTGGTACAGAGCCATGGTTTACCTCTCTGGTGAAATTGGGCCAAACCTTTCGCTGGTTAATGCAGGCTGGCAGCAGCGAGGCCAGGCAGGCGATGCTGATTTATGCTAACGAAGGGGCTGGGCTGCTCTCCTCATGCATTTGAGTCAACGGGAGCGCCTGTTCAAGCTGGGGGTATTGCACAAGCTGGAGTCCGGCGACTCGGTGCCAAGTTGATGATGTTACCGGCCGTGGGAGGGAACTAATCCCAAAGTATGGGGGAAAAAAAACACATTTCTGTGGAGAAACATCATCTCTGAAGCCATATAAACAGCTCGGTCCTGACACAACAGAATGAAGAGCTATAAAAGGAGAGTTTGGGAAAACCACCACTAATGGGCGGTAGCTCACGTGGTGCCCGCCAGACTCTATTTTTGCCATTTATATTCCTTGGGGACACCGGCCTGTGATTTCTAAAGCACAGAGGAGCGTGGAAACAGCCCGGGCAGATGTGGGGCCACACTCGGTGCCCTATGGCCGGGCTTGGCACCCACCGCAGCCGCGCTCCCCCAGGGGCTATGGACACAGCAGGACCTTGCTGCTCAATCGGGAACGGAGGCGAAGCGGCGCTTCCTTCATCCGCACAGCAGAGCACAGCGACCACGGCCAGGCAGCTTCACGAGAAACTAATCGCTTCTAATCTGGTTAGAAAACTTCAGCCCTTGGGAAAACACAGCAGAGCTTTCTGTGGGCCTGGGAGGAACCACTGCATGACAGGTTTAGAAGAAGTAAATTAAATTCGTATTAGAGGCCGAAATAATTTCTCTGCTTTGAGGGGCTATTCCTAGGAGCAGCAGAGCAATAACCTGCAGGAAGGCGAAATCCACGGCAGAGAAGCAGGTACTCTGTGTGCTGCAATGCCATCACTACCAGGAACGCAGTTCCAGCAAGATCAGCCCTTATTAGGTCTTATTTTTTGTTTCACTCTTTCTTAAAAGAGCCGTTTCTCCAGCACACCATCTCGGAGAGCAATAAAACTGCTGCTCCGTGGTGCGCACTGCGACTTCTGTGAGCAGAAATCCTGAGATCCCCGAGAGCCTCTGGATAAACGTAAGCTGGGTCTGTAACTAAAGACTCACTGAATTCACAATTCAATCAGACCAGCGTAAAACAGACAAGTCACGCCAGGCCCCTGGCTCTTACCCCATCTGAACTGCCAAAAAACCCCATTGCCTTCACCGCTGCACGTGCAACGACCCAGCAACGCTTCTGGTCTGGCTCGGTGTTTCCCCACTCCTGAGCCTGCACCCTGCTTGGCCATCGCCCCTGACCTCAAGATTCACCACAAACCGGGCGAATTCGCCCCATCATGCAGGGACCCTGAGCACACTGGGTTTTGCACCCGAAAAAAGTCCCAAAGTCTGCAAAATCCCTCCCCAGCCCGGGCTCTGGGCAGCTTTCTTCCAGCAGCAGGTTATTCCCTGCTGAATTCATGGAGCAGCAAAGACGTTATAAATCAAAAACGGTCCCTTGGCCTCCGCACCCCCTCGGCGGGAGGCAGGCGCACGCCATGGGAGGTTTCTGGGTTGCTTCTTTGAAAAGCTGTTTGAGGTCAGGCTGACTCAGTGCTTCCCAAAAGGCAACAGCTCCGCATTGTTTCGGTGCAGGTCCCGAGCACCGCCCTGCGCTATCCCAAAATTCAGATGTAAACTGCAGCGCTTTGCCTGCAGATAACCTTTTCAGCAGCCAGTTCTGGGAAGCCGGGGGATGCTCCTGGAAACTGAGAGGGGGACATGGCTGTGGCAGCCCACGCACCCCCAGAATTTCTCATCTTCCTTTCACGGGTAGCATCTGCAGCTCCAGAGCCTGTGCAATGGTTGCAGACGCCAGTTGCCAGCCAACTTATGGGAAAGGAGCTTTCCTGGTCCACAAAGAGCCAGATAGCCCTGCTATAAGCCGTGTGGGTCAGAAGCCAGGCTGCCTGGCCCATGAAAAGTCCAGTACTCACAGCATTTGGGGCCCTGATGCTCCCAGTCACACTGCAGGATGCACTGGTAGCCCAAGGAGAGGTGGGCTGCAGTGGGTGGCCATCGGGGAGATAGCGAGGCAGCTTCGGGCTATTTCAAAGCAAGAGTGAGTTCCCTCAAGCGCTGGTCCCTCCTTCAATCTTCCCAGCTGCAAGAAGATGGGTTACAAAGAACAAGTGCAGGTAATGTTTCCCCTTCTTGAGGAAAACTCAAGGCTAAATACTCACCACAGCCATTTCTGTGACTTGCGCTGGATGTGCAGCCTCCTCAGGAAAGCGTTTTATTCCAGTCTGCAGCATCCTCAAGTGGATTTTTGATACGGATCCCCCCCCAGGGTAATTTACCCACTCTGCCCCCCCAGCTCCATGCCCACATTACCACCACATTTGAGCATTGACTACCAAGCCCCCCCGAGACCCAAACCAGCCCCTTTCTCCCCATCAGGAGCACTAACCCAGCGGGCGAAGACCAGGACAGGCTTTTGCCAAAATAAAAAGATCCATCACACGCACCCACACAAATGGCAGCAGCAACAGAGCAGCTCGGCAGTGGGTGTGCATCCCCAGACCACCGCCTGCGGGCTGCACGGGGGCACATGGCTGCAACCCATGAGTCCCACCCCAGAGCCTTAGCACCGGGACCCAAATTGGTGTGAGGAGGCGGCAGCCCCGGAGCATCCCGGTGTGGTCTCCAGCCAGGACCATGCCCAGGGCAGAGCCCTCCCTGCTCCCTGGGGCTCCCTCGGTACCTGGGCGCTGGGGCTTGGATATTTCCTTCCCAAAGAGCCGTCCACACCAAACACTACCAAAAGGTTTATTGAGAAGAGCGCGGGGTGGCCAGAGCCCCTCTGCAGCTGACCACAGGTCTGGGCAGAGGAGGGCAGGCAGCCTCTGCTCACCCTGGGCATCTCCCCCAGCCCGTCCTGTGCCTCCCAGCGCCCCCAGGGCGATGCGGGCACTTGTTTTCCTCAGGGAGACGCATCCCCCACTCCAGCGTGGCCAGGGAGGTAGGGAACCCCTGTGCGCGGATGGAGGGAGGAGGAAGCAAGCCAGCACGGTCACTGAACCAACAGCGGCGAGAGCCGGGGCGAGGGCTGGGCGCTGCGCAGGAGCGGTGGCTGCTCCGCATCGCGCACAGGCTCTGGCTCCTGCCACCTCCCGAGCCACCCC